CACACACACACACACAGAGCATACTCAACACTTAACACTGACTCAACCACTTAAAAACCACACAACCATCATGTAATCCAAGACTCTCGACTCCCACTTCCTTCCTCGGGAGTCTCCCATTGGACAGAGGGAGGGATGCGCAGGTGACCTCCTGACCCAGTGCCCAGTCATCCATTTAAGTTCACGGTGCAGACCAAACAAGAATACTGTACATCTTACTAATGTTATTTTTTATTATCTTTGTGTAAAATAACAAATGACCTGATTGAGTGTACCAATTATGTGTGTGTGCGCTGGAATGTTCCCAAGATATAGCAGTCCCTGTTAACGTGGTGATGGATTGGAATCAACTCACCACTCAACAAATATACTTCTGTAACCCCGACTGAAAATGTCGGGATCATCAAGTTTTTTTTTTTAGGCAGACATCAGAATCTTGCAGTACGCTGAAACATTCCCTTCACAGAGAATAAAAAAGTACCTTAATTAATGCTTAGCTTGGTTTCCCGGACCACATTAGATTACTTCCACAATCCCGACGATGTGAATTTGACGGGCCTTCCTTATAAACGAGTGCATGTCCGGTACACAACAATAAACTGCTACTAGACATTCAGCGACGTATGTATCAACAGGGCACTACTGGCTCATCACTCATGTTCTCAGACTTGTCTTCTGTGTGCCATATGGTTCATAGCGCTTTGTGATAGTGATTGATTATTAGCAGCCAGTGGGAGAGGGTGGGGGGTGGGGAGAGAGGGATGGGGGTCCTTGTGCTTTCTCTCTTCAGAGAACATAGTTTGTGTGCTTAGCACCTTTCAGGATCACCACTGTACTGTGGCCTGTGCAGAGCAGGAGGAGCTGTGATTTTTTGTTCATATGCTGTTTTTGGGTCCATGTTTTGGTTTCTTTAGTGTGTGGGCTGACCTGTGTATACTCCATGGAGTTGTCTCTTCTCTCATGCAGTGAACGCCCACTGAGCGCAATGTACGGCTTTGGATGTTTATTTTATAACGGGTTGAATCTAATCAGGGTGATGGTGACCTGTTGCATGGTTTTATTTGAATTAAACATTATTACTTTTGCACGCCTTTGTGTCATGATTTGTCATGTGGTCCAGCAATACAACTTACTCCTGAAAACTGCTGACTTTTTACAGTAGACTTATCACTGAGTCATTTATAACTTAAAAACACCAACATTTTAATACCTTGTATTCAGCAAAATATTGCTACAAAAACTTTGTCAGGGGTTAGATTTAAGATGTTCCCAATAGGTGTTCCAATACAAACGCACTGACTTACAGTCTTGTTGACGTTCCAGTATATGCACCATTGCCTCTTCATGATTGTTGTGTCGTTAGAATTGACCAAACTAACAAAAAAAAATGTTTTTTGTTTGTTCTGTTTGAGTACACAATATAGTTTGTGTTTATTTTAGTATATAGTTTATAGTCTAGTTTTTATTTTTATTTGTTAACTAAAATGTTTTTTCACACCCACTCTTTTTGTTAATCTCCTTCCACTGCTGACTAAAAAGATCTCCACTTTGCTAAATCAGACTGCTCAGCCTCATATTAGCTTCAGATAAACTTTAAAATAAAGTTTTGTTTTTAGACTGTAGATTTTGTCCCCTGACACTGACATTGGAAACACATGAGGGGAGGGTGTAATGGCCAGAATGAACAGGAGCAGTGATTACAGAGAGCAAAAACCTGTTTTCACTGTTCATATGGGTACATAACCACTGCTTTAACTACTTACTTTAGAAAGTGTGAACATATCCTCTAAACCAGTGGTTCCCAACCTGGGGGGCCAGGAAAAGAAGCCTATTTAGTATGTGTGATTGTTAAAAATTAAAAACTACATAATACAGACAGAGAATTGTATAAAAGTTCTTAAAAATATCAGGAAAAGTCATCTCTGATCAATATTCACAGGAAATAATCTGCTCTGAATTCCTTCAAAGCCTTAATTTTACACAACATTCCTGCAGTTATTGTGTTCACTGTTTATAGTTTATTACAGTTATGGTTATTCATTGAATATAATATGAAGTATACATAAAATATGTATATGTGTTATATACCCTATATAAGATTACTCAATGATAGAAAAGGGGTCCTGTAAGGAAAAAGGTTGGGAACCACTGCTTTAAACGTACTGCAAGTCAGAAACAGTTTAATACTGATGCCTCTATATGAGCTTTATGAACAAACAAGACCATCAGAGAGAAGATAATGAATAATATTTACACATTTTAGTATATTAGTATTTACACAAATTTGACTCTAAAAACAGACTGTAAAAGGAATGGTCACAATTGAAGCAGCAGGGCGAAATTTCCTCACTTTCATTTTCTAGGTCTAAAAAACACTGTATCCTACACTTCCCATAATGCATTCAACAGCATAATAGACATTTTTTATCTGACCGGTTTGAATCTTCACATGTCTGTATTGTGATCTAACTGTCTCATGATATATCTTTACATTCCTGCTGGATTTTGATTGTGATGAGTTCTTTCCTCAGATATGACCATTATAGGGCATTATGCTGTTTATAGACTGAGTTCACAACGGCAACTGTCAGTACACTTTATATACAGAATGATGAATCCAACAAACAGAAAACGTAATGCCCGCTATGCTAATGTACTCTGTGTTATTCTGCATCCATAATGTGCTGTTGTGGAAACCCAAACCATACTAGAGTGTCAACATTTAGTCAGTTTGTCATCTGGGCAGTGCTGTTAGCAATAATCCCACATGCTGTTTTTGCCTCTTCTTTCAGCTTCTATATTAAGCATACATGTCTTGTAAACAGTGGTGCAGTGTATACACAGGTATACCCTCTCATTTTTCAGTCGGCATTGGATATACCCACTTATAAATCCACTCTGATGCTCATCATTCAGTGGTGTTTTGCGGGTTGAATTTGTATCTTCCTAGGATGGCAAAGGCATAATAGTTGTCCAGTTTAATTGTCCAGTTTGGACTGGAGAAAGTGGATGCAGTGAAGAATAAGGAAGACTTGACTCAAAATGCCTGTGGGCCGGTATTGATTCTTCTGTGGCCAATGATCCTTAATCCTGGAGTCAAGCAGCAGAAGTTAAATGACATTGTGCAAATAATACTGGACAATTTTTTGGTGAGCTAAATATATCAGAGTAAGACTACTCTGATATATTTAGAAAATCAGTGGTAAAGGTAAGCTGTGGAGCTTAGCTAGAGGCCAGTGTAGCCAGCACACAGCACTTCTCGTCTGTCTTACTGGGCTGACAGCAAGATGCTTCTCTAAGTGCAACCAGACGCAGCATCCCCATTCAACAGCTGTTGTTGCTTCTATTTGCATCTCTCTGCTGCAGGGAAACAGGACAAAGAGTGGCACGTGACCTGAGCTTGGGGGGGAAAAGATTGGTGAATCAATCACAGTGGGTGATACAGCTGGGTGCCCTTCACTCCCTTACATACCCCTTAAGGACTTACAAGGAGAGACAATGAGCTAGATGAAATGCTGTATACGACTAAACAAACTCCTGAATGCTCAGAGAGGCAAAAGAATTCGTCTGATCTTATTGATTCTAAAATGAGTTAAACGTGGATTTGGCTCAAGAGCAAAAGAGAAATGCTTGGTAAGAGTTAGACTGACACCATTAGCCTATAAAAAACAGATTTAATGAAATGATTGAGCTACGATAATGACAAGAATCCAAAAACTATTAAATTAAAATGATCTTTGATTCATCATTGTTTGTTAGATTAATGTGACTGCGACCATATCAAAAGTGAACCCTGTCAGAGTTCCACATCCAGTCCTCCTAACAGCCCTAATGTCAGCTAGACAGCTTGGTCTGTGTGTGTGGGTGGGATAGGCAAGAAGAAATGGACAGGCCCTCAATCACTCTAATCTTATCTGCTGTAATGGACAAGCCTTCCATCAGCCCAACTGTATCAAAGAGTGAAAGAGAACAACATGGTGTGCCACTCAATCAGCATAACTGTATGTGAACAGCCTGGGTCTAGGTACAAACAACTAACGAGTTGATTCATAAAAGCTAAGAAAGCAGTGGTTCCCTTCTGTCTTTGGACAAACCACCTATAGCTTTTATTGAGTTACATTACAATTTAGGAGTATTCAAAGAGACTCACTGAGCAATCTGCAGAAAAATTGTCATTTCTGACATTAATCATTTCACCACAGGAGCATTGCACAGGCAATAAAGGAATTAACCACCCAAAATTATTTGATGCTGTCAAAAATAAGGACTCCCAAAAGTCTGTTGAAAAAAGTTGAACAAGATCCAGGAGTGTGCCTAACGTTCTGTATGAACACTGGTTCCCTTTGAAATAACAACAACACATATACATTTGCAGGGATGTTCCCAATATAATATTGTGTTTCCTCAAAATAACAACTTGGTTAAAGATATACGTGTGTGTGTGTACAGATGTACGTCCAGGGGTCTTGTTCCCAAAATATAATATCTTGTTTCCTCAGAATAAAAACCTGTTTTCACATACGGTATACTTCTAAATTGAGCTTCTTTCAGGAAAACAACCTGTTTACACACACAGACACACACA